GGGGTAGGATTTCAACTCCACACCGCAGGTACCAATCCACCGAGTAAAGGGCTAATCCCATGTGGTTGACCTCCACCTTCCAACATTTGATCACCATACTTTATTATTTTTTTTATCGCAAAGAAAATTTATTATAGAGGTACCAGGGTACCTCAAACTCATTTAAATCACAGAATAGGAGAAAGAAAAGTTTAAGGGTTGATTCTTACATTTTTGAACTGAAGTTAAATGATCATCAGACTTTGAACTATTATTTATTTTTATTTTTTCGAATGCGGAAAAGCATCATCAATTAAATTGACACAGTTGTACCTGACCCCAGGTAACGACTTTCCTTGATGGTATCCTTTTCGATGATGCCTAAATACCTTGCACCTAGACCTTCACTTTCTTGGTAACTTGCAGAGCATTGACTATAACAGTCAACTTTAGAATTTTTGGGTACGAATGGATACATCACTTGCCCCACCAACATTGCTTGAATTTTCTCTTTAACCTTCAAATAATATGGGGCAGGTTTGCTTCTGATATCGAGAAGCATTTTGATGATGATGGTTTCTTGGGAGTTTTTGGGTATTGGCATTTGGAAATTTGGAATGGATCCAGTGACACTATTAGAAAACCTTTAATTACCAGCTAAATATTACCGATGTGAGAAGTTTTGTAGGTAATTGATCTCATTACCGATAAAAATAATGTCTATGCATAGTAAAACAGTAAATGTCATATTAACTTATATTATCTAATTTTCATATAATAATTTTATTGGTGAAATTAAAAAACACTTACAAAGTATTAATTTAAAAATATTATCATAATTACTTTAAGATGAGAATCTTGTCGGTAAATTATGAACAACCAACTCCACGTCGGTGAGCTAAAATCGTTTGAAATTGAGCTTGTGGTGATTTCATTAAATGTCTTAATGACTTGTAGCAACTCATTGGTAAACTTAATTAGTGCAATGCTTATACATCTATTTTGTTTTTTAGGCTATGGCAGCCGCCTTGATGAAATGAAAAACTTTCATTCATAGTCTCTGATTAAGGTAAACAAACAATTATATAATACATAATTATTATAGAAGTTAGACAATTAGAATTATAGATGTGAAGAGAATCAGAGGAGAGATGATATATATATTTGATCATTTCTAATTCTCTAATGAAATTGTATCTCTAATATATAAGATTTAAACTCGAAATAAAAAAGAATGTCTGTGCATGGGTAAAGAGAACAAGAAAACCTCATAACATTAGAAAAAAGTAACCAATAATTTTTGTAATTATTTAATTTGAGGAATTTATTTCAATATATAATCATTTTAGCTGCATTCTTAACTGTATAAGTGTCAAATAGTTCCTTTTAAGAGTTTTTGGCTTGGATGGACCGTTGGATCATGACCATTACTTTGACCACTTTTTCATCAGTTTTGTTCTTTGAACTGCATACTAGCTCAACCGATGTGAGTTGGTCCTAAGGTCGTCCTCACAATACTTTTTAAGATTTTCTTGCATCTATTATCACTTATAAAGAGCCTTTGAATTGATAACATCTTGAGAATGTTTGTGATTGTATTACTTGATAACTCGTTAAGGGGGGTTATTGGTCCCAGGCATTTGAAACTTTCTGTTATTTCAGTTGCCACTATATTGAGATGGTAGAGGTTTGCATTGGTTGTAGCAATGTGCATCCTAGCTGTTGGAGCAGTGATTTTGCAACTTGCTTTACATCTTCACATACAGGTCTTTATTTTCCTTCATTCTTTCCTCACTTGAAAATAGAATTGACTATAATATATCATTTTAATAGAATAAGTAACAGATTTTGTCCTAAATACTACATTCTATTGACATTTTATAATATATCCCTCCTAATAATGTAAGCAATTCCTTCTGAGGTTATCCCATGACTGCATCACTTATACTGCTTAACTCTACTTTTTCTGACATTTCCAGATCCATGTGCTTAATGGACTAGCTGGCATTTCAAGGCCCCCAATTTTGCAACAACTTTAATAACCCCATCCGCGAATTAGACCACCAGAAAAAGTAACCGTAAAAAATTACAACTAATTTGAATAATTTTCTAATAAAATTTCAAATATCAGGATGTAAGTAAATGTCCTCATTTCCATATTTCGTAGTTACAATTAACTGTTTTCTTTATTTTCCTGGATTCTTCTCCTTCACAGGTAGGTTGGTGGCGGTCTCCTGAGTCCCACTGTATTATTGCAGATACCCTCCCCTCTCGCCGAAAAATCTCTAATTACCTGCGATTCTCGACTTCTCCTTCGTGCACACTCTCCCACTTCCGATTTTTCTCCTTTTACCCAAATTCAACAGCTCTCTCTCGGATCCCTTTTTTTTCAACGTACGTCTGGGAAACCCCAATGCAAGCCGGAGTTCCCCTTCTTCTTATGAAGAGAATCGACTTTCACATTCAATTACTGAAAGGATGAATTGATTGGTGCAATCGGAAGATACACCCATCACCCATGGATGGAGCTTAATTCTTGATTCTGCCAAGGCAGCATTTTCCCAAGTGAATCATGTAAATAATACTCTAACAAATTTCGCATTGAATGTAGTCCCATTTCATCACATCTGAATGTTTTTTCAATCTCTCAGGTCAACTTCGAATTATGCATCTGCCTAGGACAATAATGCCTGATTTTTCTCAATGGGATGGATGCCTTAATGCCTCAGGTAATATATGCCAATTCCATTTTAGTAGTTTCTGTTAGTGTTCCATTTTGTGTGTCTGTGCGCGTGCAACTCAATTAATTAATCAATTGGAAAGAAAAGTACCCATTTCTTGCGAATTGAACACCAATAACACATCAAAAAACATGATGCAAAGTTAGAGCCATTGTGACATCTAGGTGGGGTGAGAAGTGGGTAGCAAAAGAGGATACCTCCTGTTTTTGTATAACTCATGAATAAAGAAAACTCTACTTAATTAGGCTTCTCTGTAACAGTTTTGCTTAATTTTCATTTTCAATCAAACTGGCTGATTCTGATTCTGATTCTGATTCTGTCTTCATATCATCATCTGACGAATAACTAGAAAGCTCTGTGGAGTTGGTTTTCATTTTAGCATCATCTTCTTCAATTGCAAATGGATAAATTTGGAAGGGCCTAGGAGGCATTTCTAAAAAATTTCGAGATCCGCTTCAAGCGTCTCCATCGCTTTGCTCATCGAAGGATAGCAGTTTGGTTTCACTTCTATACACCACCAAGCCACAATGATCATTTTCTTTGCTATTCTCTTTTCATCTTCCTTGGCTTCTCTTATTTCCAGCTCCATTCCTTTATTCAATTGTTGTAAAACCCATGTAGGAAAGTAAATTTGACTCGAATGCTCTGCATGTGGGTTTAAATTCCTTCTCCTGCTACCCATTTCCATCAACAACATTCCAAAGCTATAGACATCAGCCTTGTGTGAGACTCCTCCATTGTTTCTATAGACCAACTCAGGCGCCATGTATCCTAGCTTTCCCCTTGCTGCAGTTAGGGACACAATGCTATCTTTTGTCAGATATAATTTTGTAAGACCAAAATCAGGTGTTTTTGGGATGAAGTTATTGTCTAAAAGAATGTCATGAGGTATGATGTCAAAATATAAGATTAGCATATCACAGCCTTGGTGTAAATAATCAATCCCATGAGCCACTCCTAGAGAAATCTTGTATAGTATTTCCCAACCCAAGGTTGTACTTTCTTCTCTAGTAAAAATGTATTTATCAAGATAACCATTAGGCACGAAGTCATACAAAACTGCACGGTTTGAACCCTCAACATAAAAGCCAATAAGTTTTACCACATTAACATGGTGAATACTTCCAACCATTGCTACTTCACTGAAAAAATCTTGGCTTGTGATTTTGGATTTGCCCAATAACTTGATTGCAGCAAGACCACCACTCTTAAGCCTTGCTTTGTGAAGCTTGCCGAAACCCCCTTCCCCTAGTTTTTCCTTAAAATTTGGTCATCTTTTTGATATCTTATTAAGAATACCTTATTCACATAAGGTTACTGTTACTCTGCAATAATTCTTTAATAGAATCATACATACATAAATGCCTTCTTTGCCATTTATATAACAAAAACTGGATGAAGCTTGGAATTGCAAAAGCAGATGCTACCCCATGAAGTACACCTGTGAGTAAAAAAAAGAGATATATTGATATAATTGGTTATCAAATAAAGCATCCGATAAATATTGCATGCTTCTCCTGGAGTTCTTAATATTATTTTCTTATAATCTCATCAACTGTACTTGAATTTTTAATACTTCATGATTCAAGACGGTGCAACATGGATAAATGAAAAACAATAGCTTCAGAAGAGAAAGGTTCTAATTACCTAATACAAATGTTGTGTAGGATAAATAAGTGTAATGCATGACCAAAACTTCAAAATATACCAGAAAGCAGAAACCAAAATCAGGGAGAAGCAGGACATTGAATTTGCATACGGTTCATTATTAAAAAAAAAAAAAAAAGAGGACCCAAAATTAGCGAGTTGCATTTGCATGTGTTTAATCAACAGGCAACATATGTTCGTTACATACCAATCCATATAGAAGGGTAGGGAAACCACCAAAGCTCAAATCCATATGATAACTAATGGTGAACATCTAGGTAGGTAATGTTCTTATCACTCATCCCTCTTGAAGAACAAAGAACCATCAGCTCAATCTGGCATGGCTTCTTTAATTCAAATGTTGTTTTTCTTCCAATCTTAGCATAATAATACCTTTTTAGACTTGGACGAATTAGTAGCATCAATGCAAGAGGAAGCATCCACATTGCGAATATCATTTACTAAAAGAGGAGCTTCTCCAGGATGAAAGTAATATGGATCACTGTCTGTTGTGACCTTATCAATGCCAAGGGAATAGAGAGTTAGTGAAGAACAGTTACCTTGATTAACATTAAGATCCACAACTTTGATCATTTTGTGATTATAATCGATTTCTTGCAAAAGAATTTTCCCAAATTAAGGTGTAAAATTGTGACATTGTTCAAGGAAATTTGATGAGAATCAAGATGACAGCACACATATGACATCAAGTAAACCATTGTATATTCATGGAGGTTTGATAATGAGAGTAAGAGTTAGAAAGATACGAAAAGTTGTAAACGTGCTTACTGAGGAGATTTAGGTTAAAAGTAACACACAGCAAGTGAATTAGAACTTGAAGGATTGTCAAGATTTAGTATACATTTTTTAAGTCCAAGAACAACTTATTTGAGGTTGTGTTGGCTAAATTACACAGTTTGGATCAAAATCACTCAATTCAACCACAAATGCACACTTTTGTTACAATGTCGCGAATTGATGTTTTGCATTATTTTAAGTTGTTTTGAATGATTTTTATGTTATTTTTACTTAGACTTGTGTTTTTTTGAGTTATTTGGGCTAAAAATTGTTTTTAATTGAAAGTCTAATTCATGTCTTATTAGGAATAACACAAATTCAAACATTTTTAGAAGTAGTATACATCCAATTTTGCTTTTAATTGGATTTGTGTATAGAATCTAGTTTTTTATTCTTAGTTTGACTAATTTAGTTATGTAAAGGCTTGTAACCATAATTGAAGATGGTTAATTGAATGTGAGATTATTTGAGAAATTTATCTAAATTTTTCTCTTGGTTCATTTGTGAACTTTATAGATTTTATCAAAATTATTTTTGTGGCATTCAAATTTGATTTGTTACTCTTGTTCTTAATCGTTTTGAATGTGGTGTCAAAATTCCTTTATATTTTCGGTTCTTGTTTCAATATAAATAATGGATCAAAGTTTGTCTTCTATAAATCTTATTTGGCTTTCCTTGGGGTTTTCAATCTCTCTGTTCTCATTGCGCTCTTTGGAGTTCACATCAAGAATAGATTATACTTATACTTTGAGTCTCTACATTTTAGTGGATCGGTGCAAGAATAGAAAGGAATCAAAGGACGATAAATATTCAGAATATTGCCACAAGAAGAAGCTGGACATTGATGGCTTGCTTTGGCACTAAAATTTTCATGAGAAAGGGCAAGAAGAAGGGCTGCAATGAGAAGCCCTATTCTAGCCATAAGGAGACAAGTAGAGATGAGAAAGTCTTTGCTCAATTTAATACTAATAGGTGGTGCAACCCCACAACTGTTTTTTTCTACATGAGAACTTTGAAAGTCAATTACAAAATGTGCTTCAGCAAATAATGACTGGGTTTTAATTTCTTGGCAAGTTCAGAAACACCGACTATTGCAGTCGGTTATTGTCCTATTGAAAGGAATGAAACTGATGCAACCCCACAATTGAATTTTTCTACATGAGAATTTTCAAAGTCAATTTTGTACATCATCAATTAATGCCTGGGTTTTAGTTTCTTGGTAAGTTCAGGAATATTGGCCATTACATCTTATTGAGTGAAATGAAACTAGTGCAACCCTACAATTGATTTTTTCTACACCAAAATTTTCAAAAGTCATAGTTATGTTGGCTTCTTTGTTAGGAGCTTAACTAGTTCTTTAGAATTATCAACTTCTATAGAGACAAAAAATGAAGAGGAAATGAACTCTAGATACATGATTTAGGTTTAGTTTGACAAGGATACTCTATAGTTGTAGTTATAGGTTTTTGGGTTCTTTAACGTCTAAAAAATATATAAAATATATATAATATATTTAATATTTATTTTAATTAACATTTT